AAAACGGTAACAACGGACTATTTTTCTTAGCGGATGCATGTCAATTTAAATCAATACATACAAACAGTGCATGACATTAAGCTAATTTACAGATGGCCCTGAGCCCAATAGAGATTGCCCTGAAAAATGCGCGCGGACAAAATGACGCACGAAGTGTTTGGGGGGCCTCCCCCTAGAACATTTAGATTGTTGCAGGTCTTAGATGCTGTCTGGTGCATTCTCTAGACTGAATTATAAGATGAACCACCACAATATAATATTGTACAATTTCAATTTTATTCTTCATTTCACTTGTTTGTTTGTTCTTGTTTGTGTTTTCTCGCTTGCATGCCCTGCATAGCTTTAAGAAATACTTAAGTTGTTGGTCAAGACACTTTCCATCTGATGAAGGAAAATGCCTTCCAGATGTAAAAAAGTAGAAAACATTACATTCAGTTATAACTGCCAAAACAAACATTATTTACACTATTATGGCCCCTGTTAAAAATGTTTGTAATGTTATCTACTGTAAATTGGTCCAACGAATTCCTCCTCATCCGGAAGCTGACCGAGCAGACCCGAGCAGCAGTCGAGAGGAGCCGAGCGCATCCGCGAAGCACACAAAATGGCGACGTCAGAGTTCCCGTTAGCCGGCAAATCTAAATCTCTTCGGTCAAAATGTCCGGTCAAAATAATTTCCCTTTAGCGCAATACCGCTTCAGTTGCGCCACTTATGTGACAGACAAGAAGAGTATGTGACAGACAAGAATAGTCAATTCTAATGTCTAACACTTAATGTGGAGAAAGAGATGTCCTGTGTGGGTTGATTGTGCGTTGATCTGTTGGTAATGCCTCGGGGTTCCGGTGGGCATGTAAACAAATGCATAATGCTGCGCTATACTTTGTGGCCTCACCCAGTTGCATAGCGACACTTATTGTTTAGGTGTCTTTTAATAAGCAGGTAGTCCTATCATTAGCTAGAACTAGCTGGATCTGATCGATATGGACATAAACGCGAGTGAAGTCTAATCTGACGGGAGAGAGAGATCAGCTGCTGCTGACGAGTCGACACGCAGCTCTGCATGATCACATGCAGCGGTGAGCGGAACAAAACATACACTTCAAGTTAGAATATCACACGTAGCTATTTTAATTACCTCTCAAACTACCTGAACTAGTTATAGATATGTTTAGTTTTACTGTCGGGTCACTCATTACTGGATCGGCGAGCTGCATGATACTGGCATAATAGATTGCCCGGTCGGGCAACCAGCAGGTGAGGCTTCATTGCCCGAGCTAAATACTAGATGGCCCCGGGCCATCGGGCAGTCCTTAATGTCGAGCCCTGCATACAACTATTTTTTAAATCAATAAAAACATTTTCTAAATCCATAAAAGCATTTCAATTAATATTGGGAGTCATGTCGTTACTTTGTTGAGAATGTGGCCATGTAATAAGCGGGATAATTTGCAGCGACTTGTTCCTTATGGGGAAAATAACACCCTTCATGCTGATCAAGATCCCTCCGCTACGTGTTGGGATCCTGATCTGCCGACGAGGCTCCATTTAAAATATAAATATGTTTAGTGAATTACTGAGTTTAGGCACGTTAATAACGTTTTAATGAAGTTGAATACAGTGAATGCATTTCCTCCCGTTCGTTTTTTTCGACTAAACAACATTATTTTGTTAAATAACAACATGGTGGTTTTGTAAATAATTACATGTCTCTTATTTAGCACAGAGTATGATATCCATGACATATGGATCTTAACAAAGTTCCGCTGTACATCCAGCGTACTGCATCTGACTTTATTTCACATGAGCTCCAGTGTGGAACCCCACTGCACCCCCTGGTGGATCAATGATCCATTGCAGCTGGCTTCATAATAATTACATGTATTTATCACGGGGGAGGTCTCAAGTCAAGCTGGAGGTTTTCCCTTGAGCGAGGGCAGATCACTTACCAATCACGGCCCTCGCGTTTCAAACTGTCTGAAATGAAGCGCTACATCTGTATAAAATGCCCAGTTATACCTGATGTCCTTATAACTAAGGTATTGTTAAGTTAGTGTGTGTGTGTATAAAATGCCCAGTTATACCTGATGTCCTTATAACTAAGGTATTGTTAAGTTAGTGTGTGCGTGTATAAAATGCCCAGTTATACCAGATGTCCTCATAACTTAGGTTTGTTTAAGAATTATAACCATTGTACCTTTTGTGCTCATCATAACAATGGCCTCTGTGTTTGTGTGTGTGTGTGTGCATAGGTGAACTCCAAATAGAGTGGTGCCGTGACGAGTCCTAAAACAGGAAGTGAGTCAGCATTTTACCACTTCCTGTTCCCTCGTCTCAGAGCCAATGGGATTTCTCCATAGGATGTTGGAAAATAGCTGGAACTAAGGTCTGTGGTTGAGACATGTTGAAGAGACAGATCACGTTTTGTTCTACAATATTAAATACATCAGCAGTGACCCCACTGGTGATTTCTGAAGAGTTTACGTGTCTGAAAAACGATGGTTGTTACCAAGTGGCTGAATAGGACTACAGAAGCTGTGGAGGCCGTTGTACGTCATTACGCCGAACACGTAAACACTCCTCTAAGTTTGTTTGCCCTGTTCTGCTTGAAAGCAAGTACCTGCCTCCTGCAAACTGTTAAAACAAACGCTTCAACTCATACAATTTACAATCTGTATGTTTGAATATGGATCTTAAGTTCGTTCCTGCTGTAGTTCGTTTATAGCATAACGTTAGCATTTTGCTTCTGGCGATTAGGTTTATGATTAGAAAATGATAAAAGTAGGGTAGACATGTGGATATTATCCGGCTGAACAAAACGTGCATTTATCTAACAGGTTCGTTTTCCACACACCTTATTTCCAGCTATTTTCCAAATTCCTATGGAGAAATCCCATTGCTTTCTGTCGAGGGTACCAGCAGCTTACTTCCGGGTAAATACGTCATCCCTGCACCTCTCTATAGACCATAATAGTCCTTATAATTTAAGTCAATGAAATGAGATTGTGAGTGCATTCATTTTTCCTTCAGTCGGTGTATTTTTGATTCAACAGGATGTTGGAGGGATATGATAATGTAATTATCATTCAAAAGTATATATAAGTTTGCTTTTTGTTCAGGAGTTAAACGTTAAAAGATAAATCCTCTGTCACTTTTCAATGACAACCGACTGGTAAAGAGATTGTCAGAAATACTTGTATTGTCCATCGCAAAAACCCTGCATATGGTTATTAAAAACAGGTGTTTGTCATCAAAGCAACAAGAAAAAAGCTGCATATGTTGATGTTCAGGTCCCTGAAAACTGAGGTCTGTGAACATGAGAAAGTGGTCTGCTCTTTGTACGATTGCTCTCCTAAGTTAAATACTTTTTTCTGTTCAACATTTAAAATAAACTGAAGTATTGGGCTACTTTTTCAGTAACAAAATATTGCGCAACACATGATAACGCCCGCTCCCGCCCCGTCCTCACAGTCCTGTAGAATTTCAGGTCTACAGATCTCTACACTCTTTTACCTAAACTGAATTCTAACGGCAAAGGGAAAGGTGGGTCCCCATAAATCAGTGTTTGACTGTATGAGGAAAAAAGTCCTGACATAGAACCACCCATACCCGTGTGTGTGGTGTGGTGTGTGTGTGTGTGTGTGTGTGTGTGTGTGTGTGTGTGGGTGTGTGTGTGTGGTGGTGTTGTGTGTGTGTGTGTGTGTGTTGTGTGTGTGTGTGGTGTGTGTGTGTGTGGTGTGTGTGTGGGTGTGGGTGTGTGTGTGTGGTGTGTGTGTGTGTGTGCGAGCACTCAGCTGTTATTAATGGAAGAGTGAAAGGTGAGCCATTACACAGTGCCAGATGACCCCGTTTCCATGGTAGCACACCCACTTCCTGATCCACTTTCTGCCAAGTTCATCAACACAGATCACAATTCACAACAATTCACAACAATACCCCTGCGAGGCGCTGTTCACGCTGCTGAAACATGGCAACATTTAACAAAGACAGAGTTCACATCTAGTCACATCTTGTCACACCGCTCACATCTAGCTTCCTGTGAGGATTTAGTTTGACTTCTTCTTTATTTCTGGTGTAAACAGTGGATTGGAACACTACTCAAATACTAATTATTACTACTAATGTTTGCAAATAAATAGAAAACGTGGTGTGTTATCAACATTTTTACAATTATCACGTCTAATTTATCAGTATGATGAAGTGGGTTTCAAGTCCAAGCTTTGAGGTCCACAATAAATCCAATACATTCCAATCAAATTCAATGTCAACACCAAAGATTATATGATCAGATTTCAAGTCAGGACAAATGACCAATTTCCCTGACCTGGAACTGTCCATTTCATGTGCCAAAGAAATGCTAGTATCAGTTAGTGAGGAGTTGCAATCATTCACAGCTATGCAAGAAATAAGGCTTTGAAATCAACCTCCTTTCTTGTAAAATTAAAGAGCCTGGAGTTATCCAGGACAGTGTCTGTGGAACATACTGGACTTGAGCCTGTCAGATTGTAACTTGTTCAATATAACTGTGACATGCTTTGTGCATGCTGTCCTTTGCCTAATTTAATTTGTATTATTAATGAGCCAGTCTTGAATCAGAAACTTGTTGTAATATTTTCCTGTTTTGTGTAGCTCCTAAGAAAAAACTAATAAAATACTAATATTGGGGAAATCAGAGCCTTGGTTAGCATGCCTACACTACAAATACTAACTTCTCAAAGATAAAATGAAAAGTCAGGGGGTCACCAAAGAGTTCATCCATGAAATGTCTACATATTTCAGCTAGGGTCAAAGAGGATCCGGTGGAGAGAGCATGCCTTCAACCTGCAGGTTAAATCCAGGTTGTATCATATTCTCACTTATTATCAGGAACAACACCGATCTTACTTCCTTAGTTTCATACATTGTTTATTTGGAAAAAATAACTGAAATTCTGAAGTTTGACCTGCAGCAGTTTTGACAGTGGAGGGCAGTGATTGTGTGATTTAAAGCTGACAGCACTCACCCATCCGGACGGCAGAGAGGGAGTCGGCCTGGCTGCAGAGGAGCGGGGCCATGGTCAGCAGCAGGGCGGGGATGTAAATCGACAGCAGCAGTGCTGGCAGAGCCGGCATCTTCCACTGCTCCTCATAGAGAATGGTCTGCTGGCTGCCTGTACCGCCACCTGCAGGACAGGAGGACACGTTATTAGAACATATGATAGTGTGATAGTGTGATGCAGTGTTAATTTATTTTTCAAAGTCGTGAAGCAACAAAAGCTAGCATCACAAGGACTCCCAGGACATAAAGCAATGGGATTATTTCATGTGATTTTGTAAGATTGCAGAGAATAATATCTGTGGCAAACACATGTTTACTACATTTGTCCAAGGGCCAAAAGTAGTGGCAGAGATTTTTATATATAAATCATAATAATATAATTGATTAATATGTTCACTTTATTGAAAACATAATCTTTTTTTTTAATAAGCCTGTATCCGGGGTAGGGAATCAACTTTTTAATTAATACCGTGTCCTGATTGGTGGGAAACGGTTGCAGGATATAAGAAAATTGTTTGCCAGGCACGCATATCTCAAATAATGTATGCGCTGCCATTTCCCCACATAAACATAATAGTCTGCAATGAAACGGTTGTCTCCTGTGTGCTCCACTTCCTCCTTGGCGAACCGGTAACTTTCTTGTTAACCCGTTTTGGTTTAAAAACAGAATTAGGTCGGTTTTTTGGTTTTCCGTTTTTCTGTTTTGGTTTTAATCAAGCGGCAAACTCTGGGGAACAGCCGGGACGCCAATATGGAAGTGCCACACACTGCAGTTCATACATGGGGCGATAGGGACTGACTGCAGAAAGAAGTAATTTCCATAGACCCCCATGTTAAAATGCCCAACTTTACAGCAGAAAAAAACATGTTTCTACCCATGGATGCAATAAATATTATTATCGATATAGTTAGATTCCACCTTCATGATTATGAATCTGTGAGTGAATTGTTTTCTAACACGACCCTTTTATTTATATTAGGTGTAATATCTTGGATATTAACAGACAATGGAACAGTTGGTTATTTAACAGGACACTTTATTGCTCCCTCCGGTGGTACTCCCGCGCCACCCCCACTTACTGTAACTGTCATAAACATGCCGTAACGTATATGACAACTCCCCCTGTAGTCAGTTAACAATACTATGACATCTCCCTTTTTCCCTTTTAATAATATCAACACATATCAATAACTTAGATATCTTTTCTTTAACAATATCAACACATCAATAACTATGACATCTCCCCTTTTTTTTTTACAATATCAACACCCTCACAGGTCAAGTCTCTGGACAGGTCTAACAGGTCTACCAGACCTGGTTTGGATCAGTCCATCAGTGTTCCTTGTTGGACCAGGCGAGCCATGTTCTGGGCTCATCTGAATGTCTGGTGTGTTATTCCTGGGATTTGTGTCGTCGTTCGCTGGAGGCCCTGCTACGGGCACCGCTTGGAGATGTCGACGGTTACGTCTGTACAGAGCACCCTGCTCCGTCTCGATGATATAAGACCTCTGTGTAACACTCTCACCTGCCACTACTGCAGGTGTGGACCAGGTCTTTTGATTGTCCAGTCTGGTGAGAACATGGTCTCCTCGCTGCAGTGGTGTGAGCTCTCTCACGCCATGGCGCTTGTTATAGTAGAAGGCCTGTTTGCTCTTCTCCGCAGCATCTCGAGCTCTGATGTGATGTCTGCTCGGCCACTTTGGTTGCAGGTTCTTGGCCAGAGTGGGCAGCGTCGTCCTGATTTTCCTGCCCATTAGGAGCTCTGCCGGACTGACACCCGTACTGCTGTGTGGAGAAGAACGGTAAACCATTAAAGCAAGTAGGGGGTCCTTTTGTCTCAGAATCCCCTTTGCCGTTTGGACTGCACGTTCAGCATAACCGTTTCCTTGTGGGTTGTGGGGACTAGAGGTTGTGTGTGTAAAGTCCATGTCACAGGCAAAGCCTCTGAAGACATCGCTGCTGAACTGCGGTCCGTTGTCACTGACAACCTCCTCCGGTATTCCGTGCCGGGCAAACATGGCTCTCAGCTTCAAGATCACATGTGCACTAGTCGTGGTAGGCAAGTGGAGTATCTCCAGGTATCTAGAGTAGTAGTCAGCTATGACTAGGTAACTCTCGCTCTCATGTTCACATAAATCTATGCCAATTCTCTTCCACGGCCTGTCTGGGAGAGGTGTTGACAGGAGAGGCTCTCTGTTCTGTGCTCTCATCTGCTCACGACAGTACATGCAGTTCTCGACTTTGTGTGTGATCTGTGTGGCTATGCCAGGCCACCACACCGAAGTGTTGGCCCTGTCTCTGCACTTGTTAAGACCTTGATGGCCCTCATGTATGCGTTCTAGTATCTCTGACCTCAATCTCCCTGGTATCACTATTCTACTCCCTCTGGTCACTACCCCATCATGCATAGACAGTTAGTTCCTAATGGGAAAGTACTCCCTAACACAGGTGTTTATGTGTGCTAGGTGTTCAGGCCACCCCTCTTGTATGTACCTGATCACTTCTTGGAGCTGCTCGTCCGCTGCCGTCTCCGCGCGGATGCTGTCTATCTTTTTCGGCGATGCTGGAATGCTGCTCATCACAGCTGCTACGTAACACTCCACGTCTGTGTCTCTACTGAGCTCCTTGTCTTCCTGTGGGCTCCTGGACAGTGTGTCTGCCACCACTAGGGTTTTTCCCCGGGCGCATACTCAGCCTCCGGGTTGAACCTCATCAACCGCATGAGGAGTCGCTGGCAGCGGAGTGGCACATTGTCGAGATCCCTGGAGTTCATCAGTGGGATGAGGGGTTTGTGATCCGTAATCAGTTTGAATGCTGGTAGGCCATAGAGATACATCTGAAACCTCTCACACGCCCACACGCTCGCCAGGCACTCCTTCTCTATCTGAGCGTACCTGGTTTCAGCGTCGCTCAGTCGCCTTGAGCAGTATGCTACCGGTCTCCAATCCTCGCCATGGAGCTGCAGCAGGACACCGCCTATCCCATAACTGCTTGCGTCTGCTGAGACCACTGTGCTCCTGTTAACATCATAGTACACCAGGGTAGGTGACGTTGTGAGGAGCTCTTTAACTCGCTCAAAGGCTGCTTGTTGCGCCGGACACCACATCCACACTGAGTCTGCTTTTAACAGTGCATATAGTGGCTGGCCCACTGTGGCGAGGTCTGGAATATATTTCCCCAGGTAGTTGATCATGCCGAGTGCTCTCTTTAGTTCCTGCACGTTTTCTGGTGGTTCAAGTTTGCTGACTGCAGACACTTTGGCCGGGTCGGGTCGTACACCATCTTTGTTGATCACCTGACCCAGGAAGTGCAGCTCCTCCTTTCTCTGCACACACTTCTCATTGTTCAGCTTCAGGCCTGCAGACTCCAGCCGATCCAGAACCTTCTGCAGCCGCTCATCATGTTCGCTGGTGTTGCTGCCATGGATGATGATGTCGTCCATGTAGACGGCAACGCCATCCAGCCCTTCCAGCGTCTCTACCATCTTCCTCTGAAATATCTCAGGTGCGCTGCTTATCCCAAAGGGAAGACGTTTAAAACAGTACCTTCCGTACGCCGTGATGAAGGTGGTCAACCTCTGGCTGTCTTTGTCCAGTGGGATCTGCCAGAATCCTGACGCTGCGTCAAGTGATGAGAAGACTGTGGAGCCGCTGAGCTGAGCTATCATCCCCTCTGATGTCGGCAAGATGAATCTCTCCCTTTTGACAGCCTTATTAAGCTTCTTTAAGTCCACACAGATGCGTGTTTTTCCAGACTTTTTCTGGACTGGCACCATGGGTGCGCACCACTCTGTTGGGTCAGTCACGGCTTCAATTATGTCGTTGGCTTCCATCCTCTCCAACTCCTCTTTCACTGCACCCAGGAGCGGTATGGGGACCCGGCGTGCTGTGCATACTGCATAGGGCTGGTTATTGTCCTTTAGAGCTATCTTCACAGGCTGTGTTTTCAGTAGGCCAAACTCCTGTTCACTGGTGTTGACCTCGCCCACTCGCTTTACTAACCCCATAGCTACAGCTACTGGCCTGCTGAGTAGGTTATTCACACTCTTCCCTCTAATGACATAGAGCCTGCATGTGTATGTTTTTCCCTTGTAGCTGGTCTGAGTTATAAACTGCCCTAAACAGTTCAATCCACCCCCGGGACCACTCAGCACCTTCTTTGGCCTCTGTAGAACCCTTTTTGGCTCCAGTGTTTTGTACACAGTTTCGCTTATGATACTACAATCGGCTCCAGTATCTATTTTAAATTCTACAGGTGAGCTGCCAATCTCTAATGTGACTGTCCATTCATTATCATTGTGAGGCATTCTATTAACTGAGCCCAGATAATAATACTGTCCATCTTCTGATCCCTCACCCTCAGTCACTTCTCTCACCTGCTTGCTCTTGCACACCCTTTCCCAGTGTCCACTTTTCCCACAATTATTGCAAGTAGACCTCCTTGCTGGGCAGTCATCCTGCTGGCTGTGTGGCATTTTGCCGCACCGCCAGCACTTCCTGTGGTCATTTTCACTCTCTCTCTCCTGGCGCCTCTCTCTCTGTGGGTGCCGCCACTTCTGTGTTGCACCTCTGCTATGCCGTTGTGCTACTTCCTGCACGGCGTAAGCCCGCTCCCCCTGCTGGTTAACTTGAGCTTTTACCACCTCTGATTGACGCGCCTCTTGTACCGTCATCTCCAGAGTGAGGTTAGGGATCAGCTGTAGCCTCTGAGACAGATCCTTGTCTAGAATTCCCACCACGATTCTGTCTCTTATGTTTTCCTCACGAGCCGTTCCGAAGTTGCAATGTTCCGACAGCTCATATAGTGCGCGGATTAATGTCTCTGCGCGCTCTCCCGCGCGCTGCACTCTCTGGTTGAAACATGCCCGTTCATGTATAACGTTGCGTCTCGGGATGAAATATGTGTCAAATTTGGCCAGTACAACATCATACTGCGACTCATTTTCCCCGTAGGTAAAAGAGCTGAGAATGTTCTCTGCTTCCTTCCCGAGCGCATACACCAGCGTGCTTACTTGAACTGGACCTCCTTCTTTGTCCAACTTAGTAGCTGTCCTGTAGCCTGCCGTGTAAACCGTTTCTTCCAGTCTGACCATTCGGCGGGTTTCTCGAAACAAAAACTCTCTG